CATATGAAATTGCTACAACTTAGAACTCATACATACATTTTCATACTCAAATAATACGAGTTATTAGTTTAAATTATTAACCAAACATTATTATTGTTTATTAAAATAGAGAAATAAGCAAGAAGTTTATTGTAAGAAAATTATAAAAAATGAATTATGGAACATACTTCGAAACAGTTTTCAGCTGCTTTCGGTGGCGAATTTTGTTCAGTTTTACTGGCATCTGCAATGTTTATACAATCAATGCATGAAATGTACGCATATTCTAAGAAGAATATCTCCAGTTCATTCTTGCCATCGAATTTCTTTAATTTTTAGCAAATTTTTAAGATTCGTTTCCTTCTCTTAAAAAAATATAGAATTCAAAACAAATAAAGATTTCGATTAAATGAAAATGGTGCTGTCGTGCACATAAGAAAAAAAAATCTGTCGTGCATATAAGAAAAAAAAATCCAGCTTATCAGAATGATCAGCACCTTCAAAATCTGCTTCAGGAATTTCAAACTTTTCATTGGCCTTCATTTTGCTGGATCCTTCTGCTACCGTAACCGATACCGTTGTGATATCATTTTCATTTAAATTATGATTGTCACTGTAATCATCAGAAGTACCATCCAATCCCACAGTTAGACTGACTTCTAAACAAATTCGTATTTTTTGATAATAGCAGTAAATATTTGGGATGAAATCAGTTTTCTTATTGAAATCCTGTTATTAATTGCGATTACTGATTAACTGCTTATTAAGAAATAATTTGAAGAGCAAATTAATGTGTATGAAATAAAAACTCAGGCATATATCTCGGGATGAGAATTTCCCAAAAATTAACAACATATATTAACCGTATGTAATGCATTTATCCAGAAAGTACACATTTTGGGCAAATATGAAAAATGAGAAATTTTTATCGTTTTTTTTTAAAAGTCCACTTAAATCTTCATCTGCTATTATTCATTGGTTGATGAATGCAAATTTTTGATGCTTGAGTTCAATCCATTAATTGATTTTTCGAATTTCTGATTGTTACCCTTATTATTCGCTCTAATTTTAACGTGTTCAGCCGTTCTCATAACTTTAACTTTAGGTTTTTTTTTTGTTAGTGACTTAACTTCTTCATAAGATAGTGGCTTAGTTGTTCTCGTTTTGGCAGTATAATCCGTCAAAATTTTTGTAGCAGCAAATGATTCCCTGATTGTTTCCAAATCCGAATTCTCTGTGGACTGTATCTCTCGGTTGTTACTGTATGGTGTATTAGTGGTTGTAGTAGTGGTAGCACCATGTCGAATTTCAATCCTATATTGGTATCCACCCGTTCCATCATTTATTTCTTCTGATTCTTTCTTCATTATTTCAAGTACCAAACTTTTCAAATTTCTCGCATCATTTTTCTTTTTCAATATTTTACTCCATAAGCCAGGCAATAATATCACTTCTTCAGTAATTGCTTTCTTGCTTGCTTCTTCCTTTCCACTCTTTTTCCGCCAATAAACGGATTGCGTACGATGAGTTGATGATGAAAGCATCGACTGATGATCGATCGTTGATCGCTTCCTAGTTGAATGAATTGTTTTATTCGCTTCATTTTTACTTATTGTCGTATCCCAATTTGCATTTATTCCTTCTGATGCGATTTGTTCAAGCTTTACCTTTCCACCTATTGGACAGTTGCGGATTGCATCTTTAACGATATCTAAAATAGTATTAGTGACAAAATTAGAAATGAAAATATTGAAAAGCTTTAAAATTTAAATGCTCTCCGTAGAATTACTATGAATGATATTATTACATACATATCAATCGAAGATGTTTGCAATTAGCACTATATATGCTATATGTCATAAGCGTACAATTATTGATTCTGTTTTTATTACGGATATTTTGAAATAAATGTGAAAATAATTTAGATATAGTGTAATTATAATGATAACATGACCAAAGTTTAAAATAATCTATAATGTTAAGACAAAAAAATTGTTACAACAATTAAATGTCATTACAATTTAATTAATAACAATTTTTATGACAAAATTGTTACCATAATCAACAAACAAATAACAATCAAGCCTGAGAAAACAAACCTTCAACCATACATATTCGATAAAAATAATTAGTATCCCAGCTATATACCAAATCAAATATCCCATTGTGGTCATCTCCATTCAAAAAACATATTCGTGTAATATTACTGTATTGAAAACTTTTACATTTAACCGCACAATCTTCATCATTCCATGTAATAGCACAAGCACATCTAAAACAAATATATTAATATTTAATTTTGTCAATACTTGATTATCGCTGTCTTCAATAATGCTATTAACAAAATTGACTCACATATCAAATTCATATATTTTCTGTTCCTGTGAATTCTATTACCATTTTATACTGTTGACTTATTTTTTTTTAAAGTGAATTATTATATTTACGGATTTTGTTATAGAACATTATCATTTTACTATAGAATAGCAATATACATGAGTATATATATATATAATTTATTTATCATTAGTTCATTATTTATTGCTATCATTATTACTATTTATCATTATTATTGCTATTATTAATTAATTAATTAATTAATTTGACATTAAATGAGAGCATTTTCTGCAATCATTATTCTTGTTATTGAAAATTTGCAACTGCATAATTATAATTTATTAATGCTTATTTATGATGATATCACTGCTTGAAACTATTAGTTAAATGCATTGAAAAGCAAAAATACCTGCACTGTTCCAAGGAAACATCATAGAGCGTCTTATATGAAGCATTATATAATAGTTGGCGATTAATCATCCCAAAGCAGAATGAATTAACAGTTGGTGAAGTATTTCCTTAAAAATTAAATTGAATTAATTTTTTTAATTAAAAAAACCTTTTCGATGACTTTTGTCAATGTTTTCTTTTTAATAAACTCAACCCTCATATATGATTTTCTTTGTCATTGTTTTTCCTAATTACTGTTGCAAATTTTGATTAAATTTTTGCTAAAGTCAGTAAATTATATCATTCATTACCGAAAATGATTGAAAGACATAAATAGAAATGTATTTCTGATTAGTAAAACAGTGGGAATTATTCACTTCCGGTAATATCGTCATCCTCATTTTCGATTTTTCCGCTCCTGCTTTTTTGCATTTCTTGCTGTCGCATTTCATGATCAGCAGTTATATTGTTGGTAAACAGTAAATCTTTGTTAATATCATGAATTCGAATACGGTATAGATAGCCATGCTGATCTTCAATATATTTTTTGGGAAGTTTTTCGAAGGTCAATTTCTCTTTATGATTATTCAATCGTTGCACATCATTATCAGAAGTATTCTGTGAACCTGTATATCCTTGCTTTTGTTGAATTTTTTCTTTACCCGACATACTATTGTTTAGAAATTCATAAGGCAGTTTGATGCGGATTGTGTGATAATTTGCTTTTAGCTCTTCCGGCAAATCACGTCTTGCTGGAAATTGATGCATCGTTCCCGGAATATTCGTAAATATTGTTTCATGCTTCAAATTTTCGCGTTTATGATAATTACCAATATGAATAACTATCCAACTTTGTCGATCATCTGTACGCTCCACTGATACTTTATACTTATCAGGATTTTCTTGTAATTCATGAGCTATCTCTTCCAGAAAATGCAAGTTGTTTTCACTGATAAGATCGTTGATAAAAGTTGGATTGCTTATAATTATCCTACCTCTGCTGTCAAATGTTTCAATTATGCTGTGATAAGTGTGCATATTTTTTTCAAGTAATTTTTGAAGGTAAATCAACCATACGAGTGTTTCATTCTCAAATGATTGTAAAATTGTTCTATGCGGTAATTGAATACCCTCAATTGGAACATCATCATTGGTGGTGGTTCTTGCAGTAGCAACAGGTACAGTATCATTAATAGAAATATTTCCTTCAACGTTTCTAACTCTTTCAGCATTTGTGGTACTTATTGGTATAGTAGTGGCAGAAGTAATAGTAGTAGCAGTTGTTGTTACTGTTGTTGTTGTTGTTGCTGCTATTGTTGCTGCTGTTGTTGTTGCTGTTGTTGCTGTTCCTGTTATTGTTGTTGCTGCTGTTGTTGTTGTTATTGTTGCTGTTGTTGCTGCTAGTAATACATCATAAGCAGTTGTTGTTGTTGCTGTTTCAAGTGTAGTAAATTTATTTTCATTATTAGTCTGTGGAATCGTTATGCTTCTTCCCTTTTTGAACTCACCGGATGTTGCTGAAAATTAAAATTAAAATCTTTTGCCAAAAATTTGCTTAAAAATTTCATTGATTATTAATTACTGTTGCAAATATTTTACTCTGCTATTTTCACAAATATGAATTTTCATATTTTTGCATCAAATCAAATTTAAAAAGGAAAGAAATAAATTTATGAATTTAACAGATTTAAAAATTTTTCGTTAAGATTAATATAACTGCTACAATGATATTTGAGAGAGAAGCGTGTACCATATTCACATTTCCCATTATTCATTTCAGATTAATTACTAACCGCAGAATAAATTTTTTTATCTTTTCTTAATAATACCAATGACTCATTTATATTGGACAAAAATAAATTTTAAAAATCTAAAATTTTGCAAAAAATTTTCTAAATATTATCAACAACAAGACGTATTGTTAAAAATGACTTTTTTAAAAAAATTACATGTAGTTTTTGTAGCACTATTTTTTTCTTTTCGAAAAATTGGTGGTCGAGAAAATTTCCAATTTCAAATCCGATTCTATTGAAGGATTCGAAAAAATAAAAAAACCGAATCGAATGAAAAATTTATTGGTAAAGAAAAAAATGAATAAATCCAAAAATTCATAAAAATACAATCTAATAAAAAGGAAAAAGGCTTAATAATTATGCACCGTCTTTTACAATACGTAAAACTTAATGCCCACCTGTATTATGGGTAATTTCAATACCCGATTTTAGTAATACATTCTTTATTTGGCGTAAATCATTCCCACCTTCTAAAAAAAGATAATCATAAAATAATTGTTATGTTGAAGTTTTAAATGAGATAAATTTTCGAATTGTAAACATTTAAAAATGAAAAATTTATTCGAAAAAAGGAAAACTAGAAAAAAAGAAAAATATCCGAAAATGAAATGATTCATAGAAAGTGAATAAAAAAAGGTAAGATAAAAACATAAAAAATGAATTATTTTAGCCAATAATAAGCATGATCTCTTAATTATTCAAATAAAACTATGAAATAAAAACTGCTAAAAAAGGAAGGGAAATGATTTTAGCTATAAAATTTATATACATTCTTAATTGATAACTTTGGTGACGGTTTAAATAAATTAGAAGGAAAGAATTGAATAAATATCGAATTTTTGTTAAAAACTTTTGCGCATAATCATATTTTCTTTCTGCAAGTTATGCAAATATTAAGGGTTACTGATTCGGAACTTGAGAGTATTTTGATCATTTGATAAATGATAAATGGAATGGTTGAAAAATTATATGCAATTATGAAATACCAAAATTATTTTTTCTAACTCTGATCGATTTTTGGATTAAAGCTATAGGATTATAGTTGTTCAGTTTTTGTGAAATGATAAAAAAACTGAAAATGTTTTTGTTCGTTATGATTTAAACTGTAAAATACTTTTTTCGGAATAAAAGAATTTTTCGGAATATAAGAAAACCATAGAGTTTTTATGACTTTTTTTGAAAAACAAAACTTTGCAAACGTTTTCTGAACTTTGAGTAATGTTGATGGGAAATGAAAAACGAGAAAATGAATGAAAGCGATCGAATTGGAATTTTGTTAAAATAACAGTTTCATTTTAATTTTTAATTTCTTTAATAATAAATTTAAAATCTTTCGCAAATTTTTAATACAATTTAGGATTTCGAAATACTGTGGCGCTACCGTTTTGGCTTGATTAAGAATAAAATTTCTCTGTAATTTCTTATATGCTAATATTTAAACGGAAAGTTTTTGAAAATCTACCGCAAATTTTCGCATATATTGGCATTTAGATATAATAGAAATGTTTTTGTTTTTTGAGAAGCCTAATGGTTCTCGAGAGGTCATTGATAAAATTTGAAGTTGAAAAAAAAGCATACGAGTTTCAGTAATGCTAATTTTGCAACTGTCGATACAAGCGATTCGAACTAACTCTCGAGTAGGTGACTGATATTGCGAATATCGTTTTGAATAACTCCTACAATTTATCATCAATGAGGAAGATAGCTGACCAATTTCAAGTTGATTATGAATACGCTGATAAAAAGATGGAATTTTTGAAATACTAATAACATAGAAAACTACACTTTACAAAATTAACCTACAGGTTAAATGAGTTTAAATAAATATATTTGATCAATTTTTTTTGTCAACTATTTCATAAAACAACTATTTTGTAATTTTGGAATCTAAAGATTGTATGAAATTGCTAAGTCAACTATATAATATAATGATTGAGCAGGTAGCTAAAATGAAATAGTAAAATGAGAAAATTTTTCAACAATTTTTATCAATTATTGCTTACCGACAGTTTATCACCCAATTGTAACTTATTGAACAGGTATTTGCAAAATAGTTATACACTGCAATACGGCAAAATTGTCGATGAAAACAGAAATTTGCACATTCATCCACTGATTTTACGTTAACACTGAAAGGATTGATTTATTTTTGACTGCAATTGATAGTATCTTCGACAAAAACTGCTTTTTTTATTGATCATATGTAATGTTTAAAAATGGAACTCATTAATTAATTAATTTTTTAACCACAAAAAAGACAAAAAAGACATCAACGATCGTTTTTTCTCGATTTCTCATCAAAATGATTATATTTCTCAATTAACTTCTTTTTTGATAATGATAAGTTGTAATTGCATTTCAAAATTATTTTGCCAAAAATAAATTAAGTGCGCTAAAGTCTGATTTTATGAGAATTGATATTTTTGGAATAATTGAATCGAATGTATTGTAATTTACTGTGTTGTTGATTTCAATTCTGATAGCAGTTTCTAAATTAATTGGTGGAGTCAATGAATTTGTATATATGGCGATTAATTTTCCCTACTTTTTTCTACTACACATTGTTAGTTTACAATTTTTAGGACATGCACTAATCAAAAACCTGTTCATAGTAATAATTTGAGAGATTTTAAGATATTCGATTGTAATATTCAGTTCAAATTATTTTTCAGTCTTTTTCATCTTTATTGACAAAATCTCAAATATTTTTTCCACTTTATTTATTTGCAAAATTAATCCTATTCAATTGATTGCCAAAAATTTTGCAAAATTATAAATCATTAATATAAAACAAGATGAACTTTTTTTAGCCTTATTGATTTCCATCACAATTACCGTTAATTAGTTATTGTTATACAAATGGGACAGCAAAAAATTATGTTCGCAGCAAAAAAAGATATAAAAAAAATCAAAATCAAAAATGAATCACATTTATCTCTTTATTTTATTTTTTTTTTTGAACTAAACTGCCTTCTTCTCACATTTCTCTATGATCAAAGAGAATACAGAAGATTGCATTTTTTTGCATTTTTTGTTTTTCTTCACTTCCTCCTTTAAAATAATTATTGATTATTTAAAACAAAGGCTATTTTTGTTTTATTTTTAACAAATCTTAGAAATAATATTTTTTGAAAGATTTTATCATATATTTGCTTATATGAGCACTTATTTTCATCACTTCAAAATAATTTGAACAATTTCAGATTAATTTTTGCAATGATTAAGATTCATAATAACTTCATGACGATGAAAACAAAAAAATTCTACACGGAAATATCGAAATTACGATAAAAATTGCGTTTTATCATAGTTTTTACAAATCTTTTTTTAATGTGTTTTGAAGAATTAAATGCCTAAATGTATTTTACCTGATCATAATTATTAAATTAGAATTAGAAAATACAGTGAAAACTTTAATATCGATAATATATGACATATTATGATTCGAACAGCACTAACGAATTAATTTTTCTCATTAAAAATATGACCAATACTATTTCATTTTATTTCATTAAACGTGCAATTATCCTGTTATTCGGGAATTATGTGGTTAATTATCTTTTGGTTGATGTAGAATCAAATTTATTGAATATTACCTCGTGTAATAGAAATTCAGCGATGATGCATTGTTATAACTTATTTCGTCTGCGTAATATGATAGCACACAATTCGTTGTTTCACCTAGAAAATCCATCGTTATCATTATATGTAAGAAATCGTTAAAATACATGATTATTATCATATATCCGAATCGTTTTCATTATTGTGCGAATTAAATCGTTATCATTTATCACTTTATCATCACCACATTTATCAAGACATACATCAACAACGATTAATCTTTTCAGTGAATAAATTGAAATGAAAATTATTCTAATATCAAAAGCATTTTTATTCTGAATTTGTCACTAATTGAGATTTATAAACGTGATAACATTCACTGATCTCAGTAAAATTTTTTTTCTAAAAATAAAATTGTAAAACTTAAAACTTACATGAAATATTGTTAGCGTAGAAGATAATTGATAGTAAGATATGATAAAAATAATACCAATACATATTAAGTGATAGCAAATTTTGTTAGAATAAAAAAAAAGTTATTTTTTTCTTTTTTGCTGTTTCGTTTTCAGCTTTGTAACATTTCACCGTTTTTGAATTTAAGCAGCTGACGTAGAAAACATTCGCGATCAGTGCTAGAAAATGAAATGACATGTTTTAAATTTAACGCTTTTGTTCATATAGTTTGAATGAATGCATAAAAAATTGAGCCTAAAGAAACAATTTTCTTTTTAATTCTTTTTCGTCATCATTTCAATTTATTGGCATCAATAATGATATTGAAATAGAAGCAAAAAGTATTGACAAAATTGAAAAGAAGGATGATGAGAAGCATTTGTAAGGAATTTACGGCCGCAAACTAATAGCTTAATCTAAATAAAATAGATATTTTATTCATCTTGTAATTTTTCTACTTTTTTTTCTTTTAGGTAAAATAATTAATTTATAAATAATTTAAGTTAAATTCCAGTTATACATTTCTAAAATTACTTCTTTCAATTAAATATGCAATTTATTTATTCCTGAAAAATAATATTATCATTAATAAGGAATTACAATGATTGATGCATTTGAAATGAACAAATCATATAATCAATAAAATTGAGATGATGATGAAAGATGAGAAAAGAGCAACTTTTATAATACTTTTAGAGAATGTAATAGATGACTGAGAATGGTCAGATCGTTAAAAGATATTTAGAGATTATATCCTTTTGAACCAACCGATTAATGAGGCCATCCTTTTTGAAAGTGCACAATTAGTTTCAATGATTCGTTATTATCATTTCAATCATTATTTACCGATTAATCTATTCATCGATATTTATACTCATAATTATTGCTTATACTATTTTTTCTTTTTTTTTGTCCTTCTAATTATAATATTATCATCTTAATCTGTTCATCACCTAAATTGATTTTCA